TGTGATATTCTTAACAAATTTGAGTGTGATTTTCTTCACAACAATTGCTACATAATAAAGCAAATCTGAACCTGACTTTTTACATCATATATTCAACACACACACACACACACACACACACACACACACGCTCCATTCATTTACAAATATGTGCACATATACATATAATTACCAAAACTAGTTAAATATTTTCCAAGAAGTTATGAGTGAAATTATTTTCATAAATGCAATTTTTCAAATATTTCAGCAAACAGTCCCTTGTAGAAATATAAATATATGTCAAATACTAGTCAACACACCAGTTTTTATAGGAATTTGAAAAGCCCTTGCTCGTGTGTCTTCTGCTCATCCCAAGGTTTTGCTAGACATTCATGCCGGAGCAGAACTGCTAAGTGGGCTTCTTGCTTCCTCACCTTTCCCACATATTGCTGGAAGTTCCTTCCCAGTGATCACATTATTCAGTGTTTCCTTCCACGTCCAAATGCAAGTTTCCATTGCTCCGTGATTTCCCAGTTACTGATCACATCAAAGACCACCTTTATCTTTTAATAAATATTGTCTCTTTAACTGCATGATAATGATATGTCCCTGGTGATTTACTTTTTATTTCCCTTATAATGACTACTGCTGCATCCTTGTATATGCTTTCTAGGAGCCTTGGTTTCCCTTTCTATGAAGACTCAATATTTCTTTGATTGCTGACATTCCTAAAATAAACTATACTTTAAACTTTGTTCTGCAAATTGAAAATATCTTCTCAAAGCCAATGACATCGTTTTTCTCTTTATTTGCAAATTTAGGTTTGAATATATACTTTTAATTTTCGAGGTTTTTTTTGTTGTTTTGATTTGGATTGACTTGGATTGATTTGGTTTTTCTGTTTGTTTGCTCATTTGTTTCATTTTTTTTTTGAGACAGGATCTCGCTATGCAGTTCAGGCTGGCCTTGAACTCATTTTTTAGCCCAGGGTGACCTCAAACTCGCAGGGATCATCCTGCCTCATCCTTCTGAGTGCTGGTATTACAGGTGTATGCCTCCACACATAGCTCAAGTTTTTTATAAGAAAACTATTCTTTTGTTTTATTTCCAAAGTATTATTCTATATTATCATTTACATTACTAAATCTTTGTCCCAATATCTGAAATTTATGTTATTTATGATTTTAAAAATACTTTTATTTTTTTATGAACAATGAGTTGTTTTATTTTTTAACTGTCTGTTCACTTGTTAGGTTTTATTCTGTTAAATAAATATTAGCAATAGATATGCATGGTCCAAAAGGCTCCAATAAGGACACCACAAACACACACACACACACACACACACGCGCACGCACAAACACTCACACAGCTTTTTTATTTGAATTTATTACATATCTGACATGTTTTTCCTTATACTTTTTACTCCTTCCCATAATTTTAAAAGCTTTAGCTCTAATATCAGTCTTTCATGTATAATCCTATTATTTGTAATTCCGAAAAAACAAAGTTTCTCTCTTATTGTGCCTTAATTTTCATTGATGCTGGGTTTTTGTCCTTTTATTTTTTTCTTTTCCTTACTGTGGGAGTCTAGTGCCTAAAAGTAGGAAAGATTCCTTTCAAGTCAATTTTATTTGCCCTCTTGAGGTTCCATTGGATCACTAATGCTCTGTCAATTTTTACATGATTATTCTGGGTGAGAGTCTTCATGACACAGAGCTGGGTCCCTCTGTAATTTATCAGCACCTGAAGGGCAGGGGACATAGCTCAGTGACATAAGTGCCTGCCTGCCAAGGACAAGGTCCTGAGTTCGATTCCTGGTAAAAAAATAAGAACCAAATCAACACATGTAGCCTGATCTTGTCACCTGCTTGTAAAGGGCATCTCCTTTTCATCTACAGCTCCTAGTGGTCCCCTGGTATTTGGGCAAATTTTTAATACTGGAAGGCAGACTATATTACTTATTCCTATTGTGTACACACTGATACATTTTCTATATACTAGTTGCATTCCAAAAGCTCATTCCTCTTTTACTTTATTAATATGGCCAGACCAGGATTTCCTTAACAATTTTAGAAATTTAAACCTCACTAAACCTATTCATATTTTATGCATCTTTGGTTATTCCTGAGCCATCATCCCTCACTCCTTTGACTTAGTTGTTAGTGCCTTACTTTATTTTTTCTTAGTGTTAACAAGCCCTTGTAAATGGATCTGAAGGAGGAGATGATTTATAACAGTCATATTATTCTATAAATTGAGTAGGACTTATAATTTAGAATAAATTTCTTTCAAAATTTTTCTAGAGACATGGTTAACACCTTCCAAAAGATCATCTAATTCTGCAGTTTTATGTTTGCCATTAAAAACAGCTTCAGGGTATTGGTTATGCTACTTTAGAAAGAAGAATAGTTGCTTGAGTTTCATTATTAAGTATATCTATTTTTCTGAACAATTAAATGATATGATTATCTTTTGATGCCTTAAGCAATTTCTAAGAGCACTCCTCCATTGTGTGTGCTTGTATTTTCCTATTACCTTTGTCATAGCTACTCCACTATGATGAGATAGACTCCTGAGAAAGTTGTTTTATTAAAATATTGTTCTTTTATATAAATGGTCAGGAGAACTATTATGTGGTTTAAGGTAGGCTGGAAAATGGCATCCTAAAAATATCTATATCATGATTCATGGAACCTATGAATATTAACTCATATAGAAGATATATTTTCAATACTGTATTCTATTAAATCCAAAATGTGGATTATTAAAAATATATTATGGTAGTAGAGATGAATTTACCAGTAATAAATAATGTTTACCTAGTTACAGTTTAAGCACAGGTTGATAATTATGTGAATAACTATAGCTAAAAATACATAAATATTAAAATAAATCCGTATATTTCATAGCTCAATCCACTGAGAGACTTAGAAGCAATAGCCTCCTAGTGGCAAGGAGGAAAACTATTGGCCTATAATTTTTTAATTTATTTTTTGATTTATTTTTTATTTTTAAAAAAAGAAAAAAATAAACAATAAAACGATATAAAATATCAAAAGGAAGAGAGTAACATGGTTTGTACATCACGTATTGTTATATTAAATGACTTGCTCATATTACAAGAAATAGACATGAAAAATTCATCAAACAATGCAGGCATAAACCTTTTCTTTCAATGAGCTAGTAACAATTAGTAATATACCTATTTAACTATCTTGTGGGTGCATATATATATATATATTTCTCTAATTTTCCTTGTCCCTTCCTTCTTTTCTCTTTTTCCCCCACCCAGTTTCTCTTTACTTTTGAGGATTTTCTTCCCATTTCACAATATCTACTGTGCAGTTTGGGTATTATTTACTCTTTCAGCTTCTTACACTAGGGAGACAATACGATGTTTACACATGCGAGACCAATTTATTTCACTTGTAAGTATGGACTCAAGTCGCTAACATTCCTCAATAAATGAACCAAGATTCCTTGTACAAAAGGTTGAGTTTAATTCTAAACCAAAAGTATTTATATGATTTGTACTACACAATATGAAATTAAATGGCCTAATTTGTATTGCCAGCACATGTAATAAACACAATAGTGTGGTATTTCAAAAAGACACTTAAACCAATTGAAAGAGCTGTCAAAGGTAAAAGATGAAATAACTTGAATGAGAGAAACAATGAAACAGTGTGATATTGTATTATAGCACAAAATATAAAATGTTTCACGATTCGCATTGATATATATATGAATGCTCCACAAACGGAAGTGGGGAAAACGGAAATCCCTTCTATAATAGGGCTCCAAATTATTCATGCAGTGTTTCTTCTTCAAAAAAGTAAAGTTAATTCCCCTTTTTGGTTTACAGTTTCCCTTAGAGACTTTTTAATATTATGAAAAAGGGACAACACAAGTGACTTTACAGTACAGAATTGTCATAAATATTATCTTGGGCAGCTGGTAAAGGTTAGAAACAAAAGCAGTCATACTGACAAGCACAATTGATAGGAACTGAGGAAGATGACACTTAACTTTTGACACCTTCTGCCCAAAACCCCATATCCTAGTCCAAGTGCAAGACATGCATGAGGTATATTGCAATTCAAGGATGATTTCTGTATATGCAGCCACTACTTTTCAGAATTTCCATGGTCATTACAAGAAAATGAAAGTCTGGTAACTATCACTATCTATAGGAGACCAGTAAGACATAAAGACATAAAACCTAATTTAAGACATAAAGCCTAAATTCAATATAGCACCTTGGGTATTAGAAGAAAAACTATTACTATCAATGTTGTTTTGAGTCTATTTACTGCGACACACTGAAAGTTGTGACCAATATATCATTGTAAGACAAGATGTAAATAAGAGATTAAGTTGGGAGGGGGATGTACAAGAACCTTCTCTATGGTCTGGACCATTTTTAAGTGGAATAGCAAATTGATGCTCTTTGTTCAAAGGTTCTAATAAATGTGTTGAGTGCCAAACTGATAAGTTCCAAACAAGTTGCTTTAGCTGGAAATAGTCGAGTCATGCAGCAATTGACACCAAGTACAAATTTGCGTATCTCACACCAATCAAATAAATAAGTACTGCGACAGAATTTTTGCTCTGTTAAAAATGCATTGTTGAATTCCTACCATCTTGTCTAGTGAAACTCTGTATTGTCTCTAATGATTTTTATATTATTACTTTCTTATTATCTTAAATGATTTGATCAAAGTTCCATTCTTATACCTGGTAATATGAGCAACTTCATTGAAGATAACAACATGTTATATAGCAATCACTGTTAATCTCTATTTTTTGGTTTGAAATCTCATATCATTTTTAATGTTCTTGCTTTGTTTTGTTTGTATTTTGTTATTTATTTTACTATTCTCTTTAAAGTAAAAAAACGCATTGGGCACTAAATTTAACAAACTTAAAGCACTTGAACATCAAGTTATATTTATAAATGTAATGCATTCATACATACTAAATTTGTTAAATTCAGATTTTTGTGCTTGTCTTTCTAGCTTTGTTTCCTGAAGAGTTGGCTGAATTGGGGAGTACCATCAAACTCGAACTCAACAGGAGATTGGACATTTACAACATCCTGAATATTTTAAAGGTAATTGACAAATCTCACCAAGATTCATGCTTTTAAACTCTTATTAAATGGTTGAAAACTCAACTTGTATTCAAATTATTTAATTTAAAAATTCTTATTTCATTGTGAATCAGAATATTAAAACTTTTTGTGTATTTCAGATGGTTGACATAAGCAGTACAAATTCATGAAACTTAAGTAATCATTTCTTTAGCAAGACACCATATATGTCTGACTGTTTTATTGTACCTTTCTCATACTCTTTCAATTTATATGCAGATTTGAGAAGACCTAGTGGTTATGTGCCTCCTAAAAATAGAAATTTGTTTTCTTCTTTTATGTTCTAGTTTTATTGCAGTTTGCTTTCTCTCTCATAATTAGTGGATATTACTTTTGCTATTGGATGTGTCTCATTTCACTGGTATGCATCAACTGAAGCTTTCACATAGGAAACAAAGTAAAAAATGTTCTTGTCTTTATTAATATGGTTCAATCATGCTTAATTATTTCTCTTGCTGACAACTGTAAGCTGCTTTCCCTTCATGGATGACAGGTATCTAAACCTTGGTATTTAAAAACTACAGTTAACCTTCCTGGACACAATAATTAAAGAGCACGCTGACACTCTCCGTCTGGTAATGCAAAAATGTATTTTTAGACTGTAGTCAAAACAACCTTGATATTCTGACTTCTCAATCAGTTATCAATTAAGCTTAACGATTAATATGATATCTCCAAAGTAAAAGGTTAAAGACATAAGGCAGGCATGTAATTAAACTAATATGGCTGTACAGCTCATACTGTGATTTTTGTTCAAATTCTGTGCATGCTCATATTTAATAAGTACAAAAGTAAAGTCTTCTTATTTTTAGAATTTCTATTATGATATGTTTATTTAAAGCATGGTAGACTGTGACCCAGTTGTATTATAATCATCAACTTATATTAAGTTCTAGCTTTGAAGAAAATCTATACAAAATTTAGATATAAATTTTCAGATTAGAAGTCAGAAATATTTTACCTCAAACATTAATAAAATCTATTCCCTAAGGTCATTCATTGTGTTCATCTATTTTTTGTCATCAATTATCAAATTTTGTGAGGAAAACACCTTTTATGCATTGTAAAAGCTTTGACTTGCATAAAATTTAAATAAATAAATTTCATATCTTCAATAATATTGCCATAAAAATTTTACTCCAGATCTTGCACAGAAATATATATATATATATATATATATATATATTTGAAGATGCTAATTAGCAACTTCCTGTCATATAATGCATATGATTGCATCAACCTACATATAATGCATGATACAAATATGAATGATGAATTAATACTGAGATACTTTGATTATTGATTGATTGGTAGGGATCTAATCCAGTTCTTCATACATGCTAGACATGTACTTTAGCACAAAGCTAGAGTTTGATCTCTTTCTTTAAAGCTTAATAAAGTGGTAGGATGTCTATAGTCCTAAATTAAAAAAACAGAAGAAAGAAGGAAAAAAGACAAACTTCCCGTTCCCGAATGCACTTTGATTCATTTTGTAAAAGGTGAAAGATTTATATGATCTGAAGAGGAACCAGAGTATACACTGATTCACTTTGTGCTTTATCTGAAGTTTAAAACTTAAAAAAAGATCCATAATTATTTTAAATAGAAAATTTAAATATAATCTGAAAAAAGGTACATGTAAAGAAATCAGGATCTCCACTTCTAATCAAAGTTCATATCAATGCAGGAGACTCTTGAAGAGGAAAGACGGACTTTGCTTTCCTATTAGTGTAAAAGTTTTCATACGCTTCATGTAGGTAAGTAGGTTTGAAAGAAATACTGCCAGAATACAATAGTGAAAGAGAAGAATATCCAGAAATATTACACATAGAGAGGTGAAGTTAAATCAATGTAATTCTTCTTTGTTAAGAAATGAGTTTGCTTGCATTACAATCATGCCTTGTTTCATAAATGCACTGTTCGCAAGCAACTTGGTTATCAAATGCATTCCACAAAATTCTGCTTCTACTCACAAACTCGACATCAAAGGACAAACACAGCCTCAGCCACCTTCCCCATCCAAACACAAACCCACCCTCTTCTCTAAAACCATAAAGCAAATTCAGGTTATAAACTATGTACAGCTCTAATTTAAATTTAAATACAGTAATTTGGGGGGGACTCATTTATAATCCTGCTGACTCCTTTCTTGAATTATTTCTTGAATGATAAATAGGGCAACCTATTTGTCTTATAGAATTTTACAGAATTTTTTGCTAGTTTTCCTTATTTCTCAGCTATATTCATGCTAATGTCATATTAACTTACTAACTTATTACTTAGAGAAAAAAGCAAAATAAATCAGATATTTTCCATATGGTCCAACTTTGCACTACCAACTTTAGCAGGTGTTTTTGTTCCAGTATGAAAAATATGCTTGAGGTTGGCATTCCTTCTCACCTGCTATGTTAAGTAAGGATAGGAAGAAATGGATAAGAAACATCTGACCGGCAATACTATAAGAAGTGGAGATAGATATGTAATGAAAGCACCTTCAGATTTTTAAGAGACTTGTAGACCTGTAATAATATTCTGTTTGGTGAAGTTTGGGTTAGTTAGAGATTTAAGGAATGAACTATGTATGAAATATGGGAATATTTGGCAAGTAAATCTAGAAGAGTAGGCCCGGGTGATGAAGAAACTTGAATGAAATGTTAACCATATCTCAGCTCTGGGCTTCAGGCTGTACATGACATGGAAGACACACCTCTGCATATGCTGCTGTGTCTCTGTGTATTTAAGGCCATGATTGTTGGCCACGTAGTGAATTATTGGTGGAAGATTATCTCTTTGAAGCAAAAATTCAGTTTCATTTCTATCTCGCATAGTATATTTTTATAAAATTACTTATATTTAATAGATATTGGAAGCATTCCGTATCTAGAGATATAAATATGTTAGGGTTATAATTAACTAGAATTCTTCAAGATTCCATCAGTATTTCATTTCCTTCTTTGAAGGTCAAGAGAAAAGTGGGATTGACAAAAGGAAAGTTTTGGAAGTGAGCTGTCGCCTGACAGATGCAGGAACCAACTGATACAAGATCTATCTTTAAAAAATAATTCTTCTGGGCACTGGTATGAGTAGCAGGTCCTGACCCCTGGGGAAACACCAGCTTTCCACAGTGATGAGGTGAAACAGAAACTGATAGGAACACCGGGGGAGAGCAGATCCTCACAGTCAGGAATAGACTTGAGCATTTCTGGTTTTGCTGCTCACAGCATCCTGCTGAGTTGACAATAGGTTCAGAAATGAATTGCAAAGCCATCTCTTTTTTTATGTAGTTGGTAAAGCCTAAGTAGAAATCTTCTTCGAAATTTTTGGGTTATTTTTTTTTTTTTTTTTTTTTAGTTTTCCCCAATTAGATATTGCTTAGGTTGTAATTAGCACACCTTAAGAAAATAAATGCAGGGATACTTCTAATTTTGGAAGCTGTCAAAGTTTAATAGCTTGGGACGTGCCTATAAGGATTTCACAAGGATTTGTCATTTGGAATTATGATTTCTCACCCAGTGAAAATAACCTGAACAGCGAAGAAGAGAAAACGTAGAAACCGTGCCTTTCAATTTAAGCTCTGGCAGAATTTTATTCAGAAGAAAGAGATCATCCTATATTATCTATGATGGTTACAAGCCTCCAGGATTATTAAAACCCATTTACTATTCAAGGAAAAAGTTAAAAGACTCCGCTATTTTCAATTTTTCTATATTTGATTGTGTATTTCTTTGGTCAATTAGTTAAATTATCACGGGACAGGAGATGGGGAGTTAAAATCTTGCACTCTCGTAGAGTCTAAAGGTCCTTTGCATGTTTTAGTTCATTGAACATATTTTCAATTAATTGTAAAGGTCGCTCTCCTTCTGTGGGCCTTAGAGTGTTATCCCATAAAGATGAAAGAAGCATGGATAAATATACCCTTTGTTTTTTCCTTTGTCTTTAAAGTAATCCTGTGGCTGTACCATGCTGCTTTGATATTATGTGTCAGTTCACAACCCAGGTCATTGTGCTGTCATTCCAGTTTAAAATTGTCTTATTCCATAAACAAGTAAGTACGTACATGGTCTTTCTTCTAATAAAAAAGAAAGTACCACAAAGAGATGAAGAGAATGCTCTGTTATGGTCTATGGGACAACAATCCATAATTTACTTTTGCAGATGTCTGTGTAATTTAAGCAGCAGGCAGAACAACCACACAGTTGTAGCTGCTCTAGGGAAAGTATACCAAGAGGCTCGTAAATCTTGGTAAGGATTAAAAGCAATGAGCATTCATCTTCTTAACCTCGTAGGGCAATATGGGAAAGCCAAGTATCAGAGCATACAGAGAACAGAATCTTTGAGCAAGGATAAAACGTGTCAGAGATTTTAAGTCTTCTCTCAATTAGCACTGACCTTCCATTTGCAAGTCAGCAGAAAATAACTTTAAGGTTGATTAAAAAGAGACATCTTCCACAGAAAATTAAATTGAATAGTGATAAGGCGTAGATCTGGGTGCTAGTAAATGAGCTCAAATCATAGGGAAATCCTAATCACTTACTAATAGTGAACATGTTTCTTCTAGGGTAGTACAGCATATAGAGAATAACCTTCCAAGTAACCAATCTATAAAGATTTCGCGTTTAATTGAATATTGTGAAATTTCATGAGAAAATACTAACTTCAAAGTAGTCAGTGAAGGAGATACAGACAGCTGGCTCTCACTATAACATTTAGTAAGTAAATGATCTGTTACTAATTGTTTATATTTGAAAAATTATTCCAATCGAAGGTCTTGGAATGCAAATGAGTAAATTAAACACAATGAGGGACATTTCATTTTGAGTAGAAAATAGGAATAATCAAATTTTAAAGGTTTGGTAAATAATAATTTGCTAATGTTCTCAGGACTCTTTTAAGTCAAGTTCACGGGAAAGCTAAAACTCATAAATGTATAGAAATCTCAGCATAGTACAGAAAATGCTGTA